CACCTAAAACCTTTCGTCAAGTCTCCCAGCTTCCTTGCCCCCTCCTTCCTTCATCCCAGGACCCCATCCTCCTCCTCCACCCAGTCGATCTCTGTCTGCTGCTGGCTCAGTCCCACAAAGTGAACTGCACCTGCCATTGTCCTTCAAGTTTGTTATTTTCTAACTATGTTTGATCATATGTTACATTTATATGTTATACTAGGTCTTATTACTTTAAAATTGTGTGCATATTTCAACGTATACACTCATTGCACTGATAGGCTGGGGAACGTAAAGGGTCTTCTCTGGGAGCATGCAGGATGTCTCTCCTTTGTTTTGTCTTTGTTCTGTGCATTCCATGTGTCTGGACTCTGTTCTTTGGGTTGTTGACCGTCTATGGTTTAGCTCTCCTGTTGATGGGGCCACCTACCGCAGGTTCTCGGCAGAACCTCGACCTTTTTTGGAACACCTGGTGGCTCCAGTGTGCACCTGCAGGCTGACCACGCCACACACCAACTTCTCAGAAAGCAGGACTTCGCGGCTCCTGCTCTAAGCCGGCTTCCTCTTCTGCAGGTGGAATGCTAGCATTTCAGGTGCCGCAGATGCGTGTTACAGCTGCAGCGCTGGGTTAGCCTGGCTAGACTGGACTCCAAAGGCGGAAGGAAGACTCACGGAGCTTCATGTATCTTGAACCACAAATTAAGTTGGGGGTGCAGAGACACATTGAAAGAGGACAGTGACCCGCGGCTCTCTAAGGTGGGATTTTAAAAATCCCTTTACTGCTTTCATTATTCCTCTAAGGAGTAGACAAGGACTTGGGGGGGGGGCGGTGGAGGGAATATCCTCTGGTGACATTAAAATGGCCTTAAAATCCAAAAGGCGCCTCCCTTCGTGGGCCTGGTCTCTCACCGGAAGAACTGAACTTCCTAAGGCGGTGTTGGGTTTTACAATCAAAGATGCTGCACCAGGCAGGTGAATGTGTTTTTCTCAGCCACGTGTCCTGTCCAGATCTGCACCTAGACCTGCGGGGCTGCCGTGTTCTGACAGTGGGGCGCACTCTGCTGGCTTTTCAATGACACCCTGTTACTTTGGGGCAGGCCCAGGGTTCTGATGTTGGCAGGGTCCATGGGCCATCACTCCCCCTCAGGGCACATACAGGAGGTATCGCCCAGCCTGGAAGGGCATCTGGGTTTTGGCCTACACTCTGCCGGACACAGCCAAGCTCTGCTGGTGTCCCCCCAAACCCAGCAAGTGGCCTATGACAGTGTAGGGTAGGACTGGGTTCCCCTTTCACTCACCATTCCCACAGAGGAATCCCGCCGTGGAGTGTCTTTGAGCTCTGGGAGCTGTCTCTGGGTTCTAACGGAGCCCCCTCTCCCTCTAGCACCTACAAGGGCCAGCCCAGTGCCGTCTGCTGCCCTCCAGCAACAGGCTTTGCGACGGTGTCCAGCCTGTCCTGCCTAGCACCCCCTTCTTTCAGGACAAGCTCTCTCTTGTGGGGCCTCCGCTAGGTCACCGCAAGATTGAAGGCCACAGCAGTGGACGCTGGCCTGGATCATGCTCACTTCCAGATGAACTAGACAGCGGGGATGGCTGGTTGTAAACTGGGGTTTGCGGCTACAGCAGGTTGCCAATAAATACCAGATAATGCTTGGCGACCAGCGCTAAGTGCCCCCTGCGCACTGCCTGAGCACAGACATTGAATGGCCGAGAGAAGCCAGCCATGCAAAGGGCAGGCACTGTGGGAGGTGAACCCCAAGAAGGACAGAGCTTGCTGCTCCAGGCCCAGAGGAAAAAGTTGTGACTGGAGTGTGTGGGAAAGGAGGAGAGGGTCAGAGAGGTGCGCTGGAGGGGACCCGGCCTTTTTAATTTAATCATCATCATCTAACTGGCATTTGTAGCAGCATGTGAGTGGCATGCCAGGCTCCCCACAAGTGCTCTCAGGCTGTGCTGGTCCAGACTAGAGAGGACAGAGAGGGGTAAATAAGATAACACACATCAAGCACTTTGCTCGGGGACTGAAACATCAGCGTTTGCTGTATTATCACTATTACTAATTCTCCAACAGCCCTAAGATGTGGGACTATAAGCCTGACAGATGAGGAAACTGAGGCACAGAGGGGGGCGAGGTATGGACGCGGTAGGGGGCTGCCTCTGGGTTACCAGTGACCAATGGAGCTGGGCGTGTACGGCAAAGCCCCCACTGCCACCAGCCGCTGTGGTCACTTAATCAGCACAAGGCCTAGATGAGGTGGGGCTGGTGACCTCCACTTTGTACTCCAGTGGCTTGAAGCTCGGCTGAGCGACCCGCCGTGGGTCACCGGGCCCCTGCCAGGCTGGCCGCTGGCTCTACAAGGTCGTGGACACTGCTCAAGTTGCTGGGTGGGCCGGGCGGGGGATGCGCGCGGGTCCCAACCACCCAGGGCTCCAGAGCCCGGCCGCGGTGGGCGTGCTGCTGGAGGACCCTCGGGTTCGGCCCCTGCCGGGCCGGAATCCGGGCTCCCCCAGCCACCTGCCCCGCACGCGCAGCGGCAGGAGGTGCCTCCCCGCGCGAGGCTCAGGGTCCACTGGGGGGCGCCACCCGGCGGGGGAAATCCAGCCACACCCGCGCGAACCCCGCGGCGCCGGCAGAGGCGGGCGGAGGGGCGGGACTCGCTACCCGAGAGACGAAACCGTGCGGGCCGGCTGCGGCGTGGGCGCGGGGGGCGCTGCAGGTGCGGGCTGGCGGGCGGGCTGCGGGGTCCCGCGGGGCAGGGATGCGGGGCGCGGGGTCCCGCTGGGCGCAGTGCGAGTTTACTGGGCGGGAATCTGGGGCTGCGGGTCCGTGGGACGTGATGCCGGGTCTCGTGGGTTGTAGTCCGGCGGTCCCGTGAGTGCGGGGTGCAGGGTCCTATGGGTACGGGGTGTCCCCCGGGTCGGGATGCGGGCCAGCGGGGCGAGGTCCCCTAGGTGCGGTGCGGCGGGGGCGGGGTCTGGGTCGCGGCGGCCCTGCCCGAGGCGTCCCGGGGCAGCGGCGCCTGCGTCCTGATGAGCCGCGTCCGGCCGCCTTCCCCTCCCGGTCGCCTCTTCCTGCGGCTCCAAGTTTCGGTTTCGCTGCCGGTTCCTGGGTCCAGCCCCGCCCCGCGGGTAGCAGGTGGGCGCTCGGCGGGGGCAGCGCACATTCCGGGGGGCTCGGCGACCTTTCCGGAGGCCCCTCCCCCCCCGCCCCGCCCGGCGGAAGCGCCGGGCGCGCTTTGAACCCGGGCCCGCAGTGCCCCGGGAAGGGGCCACGGCAGGGGCTGATAGTGGACGGGGGCGCCCAGACCTGGGAGCCTGCGCCCAGACCCCGGAACAGAATCCATCGCTTTAACTAATTTCAACAACGGAAAAGTGTTGTTGCGAAAAGATGCTCGTATCTTTATTTCATAGTAACTTTTTGATGCCGTTATTCTTCGCCCACTTCACCGCGCGGCCGGGAGCGCAGGGCTCCCCAACATTCCAGAGCTGCCCGCGGCCAGGGGCGCAAGGCCAGGCAGGTGCCCAAGGCCAGGCAGGTGCCCCTCTGGCGGGGCGCGGCCCTGGGGAGGCCTGGGAGGGCGGAGAATGAGGGAGTGCAACGATGGGGGGATACCCCCACCCCCACCGAGCCGCCTGGTTTTCTCTGGCAGTGGGGGTGGGGGGGGGCGTGGGCTTTGAGTTTTGGCGCGGTTCTGTGGCTGGGAAAAGGGGAAGGGAAAAGTCGGGAAGCTGACTGAATAGAGAAGTGTGGGTGCCCGCTTCCATTTCTGCCCTCAGGCCCCTGGTGCAGGCGAGGAACAATAGGTCTCTTCAGTGAGGATTTCTGAGCCTGGCTGTGGGTTTTCTGGTCTGTGGGGCAGTGGAGCACTGGAGACAGGGAAGACAACTTAGCCAGAAGAGAGAGGTGCAGACCATCATGGTGGTTGCTTCAGGGGGCTGGTGGAGGTGAGGGGCAAGGTGGGGGCCAGGTAACCTTTAGTCCAGTCCTGCCCTGCCCCCAAGAACCCACCATCTGGTGGAGACCAAGCCAAAGGTGGCAGTCAGCCACCCATGCCACAGAGGAAGTGAGAAGGGGAGGTGGGGGCTGGCAGTAGGGTGAGAGCAGAGGGGACACAGCCTGATGGCCCTCTGGGTACCCTGGGCCACTGCTCTGGCAGAGCTCTTGGGTCTGAAGCCAGCAGAGAAGGGTGGCAGGTGGGTCTTTGTATCCCAAGAGACAAGATGCCTATCTCCACTCTCACCCTGGACACACTGAGTGGCCCCTGGAGGCTGGAGATTCTTGGCCTGAGTCTTGGCCTTGGGTGGACAAGCATGATCCTGACCTTGGTTTGCTGCCACCCCCACAGAGGATGGTCTGAGGGCCAGATGGTCGATGAGAAGAGTGCGGGCTTGGTAGATGGCAACCCCCATTATTAGGAATCCTGACTGCCAGCCCCGGTATTAGAAATCCTGACTGCTGGCCCGTTATTAGGAATCCTGACCACTAGCCATGTTAGCCCTGGGCTGCCCTGTGCAGGCTGGTTCCTGGGGTCAGCTCTGACTCAGCCAGTGGCTGCCAGCATTTCTGCGGTGCCCGTAAGAGCTGTCCCTGTATGCCTCACCTAACTCTCACGTCCCCATGAGCCAGGCGCTTTTGTCTCTGTTAGCCCCTTGCCCAGGGCACACAGCGGGCACCCTCACGCCACGTCTTATCTCGGGGTTTTGCACGTGCTGTGTCTCTGCCCAGAATACTCCCCCTCCTGCCCTCGTTCTCAGCTGTACTGACCCCCAGTCTCAGCCCGGCTGGGAGAGTTTTACACTCACTGAATGATGGAGAGCTCAGGAGGCTGGAAGGGGCGAGCACGGTGGGGGCAGCAGAAAAGGAAGTGGGTGCTGGACCCACATGGAGCTCGGGACAGGAGGGAGTGGCAGGGGAGGACTTGGGATGAGGCAGGGCTGTGAGCGCAGCAGGGGAGGTTCTCAGGCTGGGTATCGATTGAGCGAGGGACCTTCTGGGCCGCCGCTGTGATTTCACTTTCCCAGAAAATGAAACTGAAGCAGGGCTGTGGTCACATGACAGGTGGCTCGCTATATAGCCGGCTGCCTCGGGACTCTTACTCTTGCTTCCAGATCTACAGGGGTGTGCCGGCCTTGTGAAGCCCCCTCCCTGGAGGTATGGAGTGCCCTTCGTGCCAGCATGTTTCCAAAGAGGAAGCCCCCAAGTTCTGCAGCCAGTGTGGACAGAGGCTGCCTTCTGTAGCCCCTGCACCAGGTAAGGTCCCAGTGCCGGTGGGGTGGGGGCCAAATAGGGGCAGTGGGGTGAGCGGTCAGCCCAGTCCCACTTCCTTTCCCAGAAATGGTAGCTGTGGCCAGCAGGCAGCACAGGCGAGTCGAGTGAGGTCTTCATGACTAAAGAACTTTCTAGAAGAAGCTCTGCGTTAGAACAGTAAAGAACTCCTTCTAGAAGAAGCACTGCGTTAGAACAGTTTTGTTGGGTCCTTTGCTGGAGGAGCCTGTCACTTTTAAGAATTTCGATTTCATTTCTTGGAGAGAACCTGAGGTTCCCCTTTCCCTGTGGGAGTGGGCAGTGTCGGGCTGAGCTGAGGAGTCCTTGGAGGATTTCAGAGGATGCTGCATGGAAGTGACATCCCAGGCACTGCGGTGGGGCGAGGGGTCCCCACAGCTGGCACAGGCCCCTTCCTGGCGACGGTTGGCTGGTCGGTGCATGAACTTGCGTGACCTCGGGAGCGGAGGTGCTGTGTCAGGTGGGCCTCACCTGCTGACTCAGGTGGTCCTTGATTCTTGGCAGCAGGACCTCAGACTGTGGTTCCCCTCTTCCCTTGGCTGTTCTTCTGCATTTCCCTGGTGACCCTACCCAGTTCCATGGTTTTACGTACCACCCTTGCATTCGCAGCACCCAAGTTAATCCTTTCGTCCTGGACCTGTCACCTGAACTCCAGCCACTCCGTGGCCTCCCGGCCTGGATGTCTGACCTCTCAGCTTCCCCTTTCTGAAACCCAGCTCCTATCTTCCCCCAAAACATGCCACTCAGGCTCCCCACCTCTCCTAACCAGGGCAATTCATCCTTCCCGTGCCTTGGGCCCAAACTCTAGCACCGACCTCCATCCTTCCCTTCCTTCACGCCCCACATCCAGTTCCTAGAAGCCCCTTGGCTGTGGGGTCAGAACCTACTCAGGGAGTTGTTTTCCTCCCCCCACCATTTCACTCAAAGTAAAAGCTGCAAGGCCCTACACTAATGCCCCTTCCAATGCCCTCTGACCTCCTCTCCTCTCCTCTTTTGCTGTCCCCCCAGCCCACTGGCCTCCCTGCCCTTCCTAGGACACAGTAGGCATGCTCTGACCCCAGGGCCTTTGCACTGCCGGTTCCCTCTACCTGAAACACACCTTTCCTCAGAGGCTGCACAGCTCCCCACTGCCCCTCCTTCCAGTCTTTACTCAATTGTCTCCCCCCTAGAGGCCCACCCTGACCACCCCTTTGAAAACTGCTACCCCCTCCCCCACACTCCAAGTTGCACTTCTCTGGCTGTTTGTCCTTGTACCACTTGGACCACAGCAGCCTGTGGCTTCTGAGGCAACCTTTGCTCTCCTGCTCGCTGCTTTATCCTGAGTCCCGTGCCCAGTGCCTGGCACACAATAGGTGTTCAATAAATAATTCTGATGAATCAAAGAAGGTTCTCTGGAGACCACGTCTGTTTTCTAAATGTGCGCTGCTGCATGTGTGCGCGTGTTCCTTGTTGCACGCCCACCTTTGGATGACGTCCGAGGGGTGCGCTTTGTACTGGGCTGGGTAGAGGCGCCAGGTCTGCGATTGCTCCTGTTCCCGCTGCATTTGTACAAAGCGCTCGTGGGGCAGATGCTGTTATTGATGTGAGACGTAGGAAGAGGCGGCTGCTTTTTGTTGTATTGATTTTCTTTTGCTGGAGGAGGCGCTCTTTGGGGAGAGCTCTGGCTGAGAGTCAAGCCTGAGGGTTCTGTCTTTGTTTGGAGCACTTGGGGCTTACGGGGTCATGGAATCGCACGCACACTTGGTAGCCGGCTGAGTGTCCCCTCTCACTATTGATCCCTTGCTGTCCAGATGTTGAATCATGGCGTGGCTGAGCTCCTGGTGTCCAGCTGGAATTTCCCACTTGCCAGGGCTCCCCACCCCTGGTCACTAGAACATCTGTGTGGGTGGCGGGCTTTGGGAGGGACAGGGTCGTTGGGGTTCCAGAGATTAAACAAAATAAAACCAAACCAATCAGCTAACCTGCCATGTGCCCTGTGCTGTGCTAAGTATTGAGGGAGGAGCTATCACAAATTCCCATTGTACAGGTGCCAAGAGTGAAGCACAGAGAGGTTAAGTAACTTGCCCACAGTCACACAGCTAGCAACTGGCAGAGACAGGATTTGAACCCAGGCGGGCGGCTCTGTAGTCTGTGCCCTGGGAGGAAGCTGTGGTTGAGATATTGCTGACCTCAGCATGAAAAGAGGAAAGATAGGGTGCTGGCAGCACCCTGCACCTGCTCTGGAGTGCCGCCCACCGGGGCTGGGTGGATGAACAGCTCCAGCCCCTGCCAGCACTAGCCTGTAGTGGGGGGTGGAGGTGAGGCATGTGTTAAGGTGTTAAGTGTGGGCCTTGGGGGTTGAAATTAATTGTTGTAACCAGGTAAAACAGGGTGGTCCTTGGCTGGCAGCTGAGAAGAGGTGGTGGGTGAGGGGCGAACAGTGTAACCGAGGGGCTTCATCTGAGTCTCCAGTCCTGCGCCTGGCGCCTCGTGGAGACCAACTTTGGGAAAACACTCTCAGAGGTCTCCAGGAAAGCTCGCCCTCCCCCTGCCCTTTCCTTTCATTTTGTGTGAGGGGCTTTCATAGGGCTGCTGAGGGCAACCCATGTGTTTGCCATCAGAATGTTCTAGGTAGTTTCGCCATAAACATCTTTGCCACAAGCATTTTTGCACATTTTCGCCACATAACCAATTGGCTGCAAGGCAATTTCGCTGTAAAAGATAAAATAATTGGTTGACAGTTTGGTTTCATTTCTCTATCGACGAATCAACCGCCTTCAGCAGACAGTGTATTTAAGTTAGTTGTCAGTTGGTTTCATTTCTCCATGGATGAAGTGCTCGACTGGATAGAAAACATAGAGATAAGACTTACTGGAAGTGTGAAATAATAAGAGAGCGTAAAGCCAGATTGTGTAGTCTACTAGAAGATGATGACATATCAGTGAGCAGTCCTGGTTCAATGGCCTGGGTCACAGTGGGCCCTCAGTAAAAAATGTGATGAATGAATAAATTACCCCCCACGCGGCTTCTCCCTTCCCTCTTCTTCCCCTGCTGACAGCCCCTGCCACCCCCAAGCCCCCACGTTCATCTGGTCTATGGGATGAGGAACAGACAGACCCAGGGTGGAGGGCGAGCCGAGGGCCTGGGAGGTGCAGAGTTGAACCCATGTTTCCCCCACAACTTTGGAACGTCCATCGAGGGACATGTGTCCATATGCCAAGAATGAAGAACAGTGTAGAAGGCTTTCACAGCACAATTCAAAGCTCAGTTACAAATATGCATCCTAGTATTTGGAAATACTGATACCTGTCTTAATGAAGGAAGGCATTTTGGCAAAAAAAAAGTGTGATGCTGAATGAGGAGACGAATCAACAAGCCAAAAGGATATATAATATGATGACCGCAAGACATGAAGACAAGCCCACAGGTGCAGTCCACAAAACGGAATCGGTCATCTGTGTGGTGTTGCCGTGAATCTACACATTTTAAATGTATTCAAATATTTTATATTTTCATTTTTTGCAGTAGAATCTTTTTAATTTTGTTATTAATTTTTTTTGTGTGTGAGGAAAATCAGCCCTGAGCTGACATCTGATGCCGATCCTCCTCTTTTTGTCTTTGTTTTATTTATTTATTTATTTTTATTGATGTTTTAATACTTTATAACATTGTGAAATTTTGGGTTGTACATTTTTGTTTGTCCATCACCGTATATATGCCTCCCTTCACCCCTTGTGCCCACTCCCTACCCCCATTGCCCCTGGTAACCACAATACAGTTTTCTCTGTCCATGTGTTGGTTTATATTCCACGTATGAGTGAGATCATACGGTGTTTGTCTTTCTCTTTCTAGCTTATTTCACTTAACATAACACACTCCAGGCCCATCCATGTGTTGCAAATGGGACGATTTTGTCTTTTTTTATGGCTGAGTAGTTTTCCATTGTATATATATACCACACCTTCTTGATCCAATCATCAGTCGAGGGACACTTAGGTTGCTTCCACTTCTTTTTTTTTTTGGTGAGGAAGATCAGCCCTGAGCTAACATCCGTGCTAATCCTCCTCTTTTTGCTGAGGAAGACTGGCTCTGAGCTAACATCTATTGCCAATCCTCCTCCTTTTTTTTCCCCCAAAGCCCCAGTAGATAGTTGTATGTCATAGTTGCACATCCTTCTAGTTGCTGTATGTGGGACGCGGCCTCAGCATGGCCGGAGAAGCGGTGCGTTGGTGCGCGCCTGGGATCCCAAACCCGGGCTGCCAGTAACAGAGCGCGCGCACTTAACCGCTAAGCTACGGGGCCGGCCCTCCATTTCTTGGCCATAGTGAATAATGCTGCAGTGAACATAGGGGTGCATAAGCCTCTTTGGATTGTTGATTTCAGTTTCGTTGGATATATTCCCAGTAATGGGTTAGCTGCCGATCCTCCTCTTTTTGCTGAGGAAGACTGGCCCTGGGCTGACATCCGTGCCCATCTTCCTCTACTTTATATGTGACGCCGCCACAGCATGGCTTGACAAGCAGTGGGTTGGTGCACACCTGGGATCCAAACCTGCGAACCCCGGGCTGCTGAAGTGGAGCGCACACACTTAACTGCTGCGCCACAGGGCAGGCCCCTAATCTTGTTATTAATTTTAATGTCCCTCTTTTATTTTTTGTTATTTTTTTCTTTTATGGCAAAATTGCCTTACAGCCGGTTAGTTATGTAGTGAACATGCTTGCCAGGACGTGCTTGGGACATGCAACAGAACAGGGGGAGGCAGACCTGTCTGAGAACATGGGCTTGTGGCGTTTTCACAAAGTACCATTACGTCTCCTCTTCCTCGAAGCAGACTCGGTGGTCACCTTTGAGGGCATCGCCCATCCCAGCGGGCAGGGAGAGCAGGCAGGGTGGCCATCTACCTCGGCCAAGTCGGACGTCAACCCAGGGCCGCCAGCTCCCAGCAGGGCGCAGTCACTCCCAAGGCAGACAACCCTCGTCTCCAAGAT